AAGGCAGCCGCTTAACCGACTGAGGCACCCAGGCACCCCCTGTCCTGGCATAATGTTAGTGGCATCCCTGCACACTCACGTCTTGACTGGGTGACAGATTAATTGGTCACACTAGCTAAAACCATCTTGAAGACAAAGTTTGGGCATTACCCCTCTGCTGCCCCATTTTCCCCTGTGGACCACCATGGCTCCTGGGGGCCGAGTGGGGGTTTAAACAGAGCCCTAGGCTGCCTTTGAGGACAGCAGCCCCCCCATGAGGTAGGTAGCAGACGACGGGAGTGGGCCTAGCCTGTCAGCCTCCTCTAACAGCCGGGTCTGCTACGCAGAGGGGCCTGGGGATGGGGGCCGGATGGCAGAGCCGAGGGCAGGAAGGGGACAGAGACACTTGCTTCTCCTCCTTGATGCACTGGATGCGCTCAATGAGGATCTCCTTCTCGCGGTCCTCGTCGCCGCTGGGGACTTCCTCTTCTGGAAGCACCCCCAGCTCCTCCGGGCCGCCAACACTGCTTGCCCGGGACTTAGGGCTCTTGTTCTACGACAGAGAAGCGGCAGGTGTGGCTGGCCCCTCTGGGAGGGTGGGGCCGGTGCTCCCGGGAGGGGAGAGGGTGCTGTGAACAGCTCGGGGAGATAAAGGTTAGTTCTGATGTGGAAGGGTGGGCTTAGTGAGGCTGCTCCAGGGATCATGTGGGGACCGAGTGGCTGGTGCTTGGCTGATTAGTCATCCTCAGCGCAGGTGGTCAGCAGGCAGTGGGCCTCCCCCAGCATGCACTTCCAGAAGGTTAGGACATGTTCAGTCTATCCTATGAGACCACGGGCACAAGGGGAACCCAGCATGCACCACACCCGGAGACATGCGGGGCGGCCCGCAGAACGTGTACATACCAGGACCCCCTCATAGGGAGATGAAAACCCCAGTTTGAGAGGCCATGGCTGGGGAAGAGACGAACAGAGGGTGACCATACAGGGGCCATGACCACCACATGGGCACAAGTCACGGGCACCGAGCCACATCGGACTGCAGGGACAAGGACAGGGTCCTCCCGTGGAAGCCCAGGATCTGCCCCCCTAAGTCCCCACCCCCACTGCGGGGCCACTTCTGCGGTGGGGACTTTTCCCTGTAGAAGGGACAGAGGATGACCTGAACCATCACCGAGTGGATGACAGGTCCCATGCTGCCCTTCAAGGGGCAGTCGGCGTGAGGCTGAGCGAGGAAGGTGGTCATTTAGCTGATGTGGGGGAACTGGCCCTCAACCACGCACCCTTGGCAGGCCAAGGGCGTGCAAGGGGTGGAAAGGTGAGACCCCTCCCCCGCCCCCAAGCCCTGCCCACCGGCCACTCCCACCCCGCCTGCTCACAGTGTTCTGTCGCAGGAGGGAGAGCCTTCGGAAGGCAATGCTCTCCGCAGCTTCCAGCTGGTTGATCTCCTCCATCTTCACCTTGTACTTCCTCATCTGTTCCTTGATGAGCATCTCCACGCAGCTGTGGAGAAGGTGACCCAGTGTGACTGCCCGCAGGATGGCCAGCGTCAGGGTCTGGCGTCCAGAGGGCACTGGCCAGAGACTGGGGCCTGGGGGCTGAGACGGAGAGCCCGGGACCAGACAGGGCCACAGACGCAGCCGTGGGCTGTGGCTCCCATCTCCGTGGCAGCGTGCTGTGTGACCTCGTGAGGCCCACTCCACCTTTCTGAGCCTGAGGCCCCGTCTCCACAAGCCTCCCGGTTTGAAGGAGGAAGCACAGCACCGTGGACGGAAGTGAGCCAGCCCCTCCCAGTCCCCCTGCAGGGCGGGGATTGCCCCGCCAAACACGAAAGCCTAGGGGCCCGCAGGAGCTCCGTGAGTGGTAAGCATGGGGGGCAGGCCCCTCAGCCCCGACAGAGAGGCAGTCACAACTCAGGGTTTTCCATCATCACAACCACACAAGAAAAAAGGGAGCAAAGAAAGTGCCGGAAGAGGCTGGAAGAAAATCTGTCAACACCACGTGGCCACGCGGGTGTGTCAGGGCCGCACAAGAAACCACCTAAGGTGACAGGTTCTTATTTTTATAGCTTGAAGCCTAAACAGTGTCCTCTTAGTCCCTGACGTCTGACGACTTTTGAGCTCATTTGAAGATCTCTGAAAACTTCTGAAGACGGTGCAGGGGGCAGAAGAGACCCCCAGACAGCTGCTTCTTTCCTGACAGCTTTCACTGCTACCAAAGGCCAAGGATGTCAGGACGCTGGGCCCCCCATCTGCCCCTCGCCCTGCAACCGGAGAAGGCTTTCTCCTTTCCTCTGCGTTCTTCAGCCTCAAAAGCACTTGGCAGGGATGCCCTAGCTGCTGGAGGAGACATAACGCGGGGGACGGGGGGGGGGGGGGCTGGCGCCCAGCACTCACGTGGTGACCTTGAGGACGTCCTTCATGCTGGTCAGCGGGTCCGAGTTGTCGGGGCAGCGCAGAAGGCAGGGTGCGAAGATGATGGCCAGGGCGCTGGGCGACATGCGGTTCACGTCCTCAAGCAGGGCCACCCTGCGTGGGGAGCGGCAGTTAGGGGCGGCCAGGGAGCCCCCGGACCCGAGGCCCGAGCCTTGCGGTTGCCTCGGGGAAGGGGCCTGGAGGTGAGACACGGGTGGAACCACAGAGAAGGCCGGCCCGGGGCACACCGCGGCGGGGCTCTTGATGGGGACCCCCCCCACCCCACAGAGAGCAGACGGCAGGCACTTGCTTGACAAGGTGGAAGATGAGCCGCTCCAGCGAGTTGTGGTTGGCCTCAGGCAGGTGCTCCAGGACGGCGTAGATGGCGCCCAGCTGCTCCTGCTTCTCTGGCAGCTCTGGGGGGGCCCAGGGCATCAGCTCCCCGTAGGCCTGGCCCTGACACGTCCGCGGGGGCAGGGGTCGGGGGGGCTGGGACGGGTGTGTGGCAAGGTGCAGGGCCACGGAGGGGTGCACCTGCGCCAGGCCAGCTGCTTGGAGCCCTGAGGTTCCTCAGCCATGCCTCCCCGCCTGGCCACCGTGTGTGCTGCCAGCCCCGACCGTGGCCACCCACCCGCCTGCCCTTGCCGCTGCTGCGGTGGGACTCACCCACAGCTCGGAGGAAGTCGCCGTACTGGGCGAAGGTCATGAGGGGCTCAGGCAGCTCTCGAAGCCACTGCTTGAGCACTCCGGTGATGGCATGGATGGGGAAGTTCTCCAGCTTGACGGCTGCGGGGTCTGCGGGCAGGCCGGGCGGGGGCGGGTGAGCGCAGGCAGGACCCCCCCGCCACGTGCCCACCCGCCCCCGACACCCACCTGTCTGCAGTGCCTGTCGTAGCTCCCGTGTGCGGTTGGCAGCGCCTGACTTGCGGTAGAGACCCTCGGTGTACAGGCCGTGCATCTCCACATGTTCCAGAAGCTTCTCCAGCACGATGGGCACCGAGGCCTTGTCACTGGTCAGGCTGTCCACGCACACGCCAAAGTGGCCTGGCTCGGCACCTGGCTCGCTCTGCAACACCAGAGGTGGGGGTCAGGCCTCCCGCGTGGGCTCCCTCCCTCCCTGCAGGCGGCTGGGGGCGCCCGGCTGGGGAGGTGGGCTTGCTGGCCGCCGGGCTCCCTCAGGCCTGAGAGCAGCCACAGCTCCCTCAGGGGAGTTGGTCCTGCTCCTGCTGCAGCCCCGGCACTTGGGACCCGGCCTCCCTTGTGCAGAGCTGGAGGCTTCCCTCCACCTGGAGAAGGGAGGAGCAGGGCTGGGGGGTCTGAGATGCACACATAAGCCCAGCCCTGCCTTGGGGGACCTCAAGGGGCTCTGATGACAGAACTGGGGGGTGCTCTGCTCTGGACCAGGCCCTCCTGTCGGCTCCCTGCTCCTACCTGACACCCAACCTTGGCCTCGCACCAAGCACACCCTCTCCTCCCCATCGCTTGGGATGGCCTCCCCCAGGTCTTCTGGAAAGTTCCGGGCCCCGGGGGGTGCTCACCTTGATCCCGCATGTGTAGGAACAATAGGTCTGAATCTTGTGTACACACTTCTTGTGGCAGGTCATCTTGCACACTAGGAGGTCATGGGGGGATGTCACAGATGGTGCACAAGGGCCCCAGGTTCCCACCAACCGGCTTCTATTTTTTTTTTTAAGATTTTATTTATTTATTTATTTATTTGACAGAGAGAGAGAGAGACAGAGAGAGCAGGAACACAAGCAGCGGGAGCGGGAGAGGGAGAAGCAGGCTGCCCGCGGAGCAGGGAGCCCGATGCGGGGCTCGATCCCAGGACCCTGGGATCATGACCTGAGCTGAAGGCAGATGCTTAACGACTGAGCCACCCAGGCGCCCCTCCACCAACAGGCTTCTAAACTTGAGACATATGAATTTCTACCCCAATTCCCAGGCAAGGAAGCCATGTGGGTAGACGTTCACAGCTGGTGACTGTCAGTGGCCTCAGAGTCTGGCCAATGGGACAGGAACAGGGGTTTGGGGGGTCATGCTTGAGAGAGAAAGCTAGCTGAGACCAAAAAGGAGAGGGCATCCAGTGTCCTTGTCTCAGGGCGGTGACAAGTGCCCGAGTATTTGTGATGGACACGGTGGGGATACACAGGGACTGAAGAGACAGCACATCCTGGGCGGAAGAGAGACAGGCCCGGCTGGTCGTGGCAGGGACACACAACCGCCAGAGACCTGACTGACCGCGCCCAGGGCCAGACCCTCCTGCCCGCTGGGTGGGCCCGGGCTGCGTCTGTGTCCCAGGGTTCCTCTGGGGCAGACTGGCCTTGCCTGCTCCATGGGGGAGGGACTCCGGGGGTCTAGGGAGGCGTTGGCAGATCAGGCAGCAGGAACAGTGTGCACGTAAGCTGGGAGGGAGGACATGGGGTAACCTGCCGAGGTGGGCATGTGGAGGGCAGGCGGCAGAGGTGGTGGGGGGGCCTCAGGGCCGGCTGAGAATCGGCATCTGCCCCAGGGTGACAGTGGGAGGACTGAGTGGGTGAGGCGTGGCCAGGGCAGTGTTCCAGAAAGATCCACCCTGTGGCTCGAGTGGAGGCCCTGGTGCACACTGAGGGGTTGGGGACGTGGTGGGGGAGGAGGGGTGTCATGGAGCATCAGGGGGCATGGTGGGAGGGCCAGGAGCACTCACCGCTGCAGAGCAGGGCCTTGTCCATGAGCCAGATGTAGGAGAGGCACTGCTCACACGACTGCGGGATGCTCACCTGGTAGCTGACGAACACGTGCCCATTGTGCTGCTGGACCTGGGGGGCCGCGGGGGAGGGCGCTGAGCGGCCAGGGCAGACCCCCCCGCACTCTCACCGCGAGGCTGCCCAGCCTGAATGGGCCGAGGTTCACGTTCACGAGCAGGGCTCCCTAGGGCTGGGCGGGAAAACACGCTCCCACACGCACACGCGCAAATACTCACAGCGCGATCCTGCTTCCGCTTCTTCTTCTGAGCTTTGCTCTGCTGTGAGGGAGCGCACAGGCGAGGTCTATGAGGGCCCTCGGGGCACCTCCGCCTCCCGCCGCCCACCCCCCCACTGGTGGTCCCTGAAGCGGCACCACCAACCTTGGGCGGCTCGAAGTCATTCTTGGTGTGCCCGCGGGTGAACTCGTCGAGCAGCGACTGGAAAAGGTTGAGAACCAGGTTGGTGTCCTTTTCCCCTCGCTCGGCCGCCAGGTTGTTCACGACAATCTGGTAGTTCTCCATCAGGTCCTTGTAGCCGACGTGGATCTTCCCATTCTGCGGGGATGCAGGCATGACCCTCGTGGGACAGACAGATTGGGGGGGCACCCTGGAGGGGGCATGGGGGGTCCCCACAGGGGCCCTCCCCAGGGCTGGGGACTGCACTTACGGGGACAGAGTACATGGTTTTGAGGTTGCTCCTGAACTTCTCGGTGGCTTCGATGAATAAGCTCTCGATGGGAGTCTTCTGAGAACGCAGGTCGTTTATCTGGAGAAGGAGAGAGAGATGCCCTGACTTGGAGTTACCTCCGAGACTTGGCATCTGACTGCTTGCTGCTCTGGTCTGTCCCAAGTCCTTCCCTGGCTCCTCTGGGATCCCAGGAAAAAAAAAATCCAGGCCCGCTGGCTAATCCTGGTCTTTCCAATCCCTTCAGCCCAGGTTTGTTTTTTTTTTTTTTTTTAAAGATTTTATTTATTTATTTATTAGAGAGCGAGCGAGAGAGAAACAGCATGAGAGGGGGGAAGGTCAGAGGGAGAAACAGGCTCCCCGCCGAGCCGGGAACCCGATGTGGGGCTCGATCCCAGGACTCCGGGATCATGACCTGAGCCGAAGGCAGTCGCTCAACCGAATGAGCCACCCAGGCGCCCCCCCTTCAGCCCAGGTTTAAACTAAACACCCAACATTTGGGGCTGGATCACACTAGGGGTGTTGAACAGCACCCCCGGCCCCCACCCACCAGTTGCCAGTAGCACTCCCCAGTCATGACAGCCAAAAATGTCTGCAGATGTAGCCAATGGTCCCCTGGGACACAATCATCCCTGGGGCTCCTCCTGCCACCACACACAGGCGCTTAACCCTGAGCCATGCCCCAAATGCATGCCATGGTGACCGATTCACCTCCGCTGTATACACTAAGTGCTCAGTCAGCATCTGCCCTGAGACCCAAGGCGTTTTGTAAAAGTGTATTCTAAACAAAATAAGTTCATGGTCAGGGCTGAGCCACAGCGAGTCACCCAGTGGGATGCAGGTGTGTCCAGCGCCCACCTGGCTCCAGGCACTTCCGTTTCCTCCAGTGTGAGAGAAAGTGGGGCAATCATCCCCAGGGGTGCTGGGAGACAACACGCAAAGTGTCTTCAAGCAGCAGATTCTGAACGTCCTGGGCAGGTACTTCCGGATCAAATGCATCTGCCTGGTGCCCAAGCTGCACGCACTAGGTGCAGGAGAGGACGCTGGGCCAGGCCACAACCCCTTGCCTGAGGCCCTTGGGACAGGAGTGTCCCAGAATCAGGCAGTTCAGATGTAACACTGTTCCACAAGTTCTGGGCAGGCCCTGTAATCAGACCCACTGCCCTTTTTTTTTTTTTTTAAGTAAGCTGTATGCCCAACAACGGACTTGAACTCATGACCCTGAGATCAAGAGTCACATGCTCTACCGACGAGCCAGCCAGGCGCCCCAAGACCCACCGCCTTTTCACACGAAATGTAAACATCCACGGTGAGCAACATGAACGTATTCTACAAATGTTCTCCCGTGAGGCCAGGTGGAATTTTGCAGTGAAGTTTGGGAATAAGCGTCTGGTTTCTGGAACGTTCTGTGTTGGAACTGTGCCCCTGGGTGGTGGTGACAACCCTTCTGGGGAGGCCCCGGCCTGACCCTGCATGTCCCCCCAACCCCGTAGTTGCCCCTCGACGACGACCCACCTTGTTGAGCAGGAACTCATCCAGGTACTTGAGCTCGTTGGCATTGGTGATCTTGCGGAACACTGATTCTCGCCACTTCTCCGACACTGTGATTTTGCCGATCTTGAGGTTTCGGTTCTTCTTCCCTTTGCCTCCTGGCTCCTTGGCGTGCTTCTCGCCTGCTGGGTGGCGGTGCTGGTGGCTGGAGGCTGGAGGGAGAAGGAGCAGCTGGTGAGGTGGGGTCTGGGGGAGGCAGGGTCCCACACGCAGAGAACCAGGAAGGACCCTGCCCTGTTGCAAGCTGGGGTCTGCAGTCAGAAAGCACCCTGGGGTTGGGGGGCGGTATCCGGGACCAGCCCTGAAGCCCTGTGCCCCGTACACATCCCCGGGGACCCTGGCAGCCCTGCCCTCCATCTCTGAGGCTGCCAGCGACCAACCTTCTAGATTTTTTTTGGTGGTGGCAGCTTCCAGCACGGTGAGCCCTGGCGCTGTGTTCTCCGTTTCCTCTACCCCCTCCAGGCTGGATTTTTTATCCTTATTCTTATGCAAGAAAAGTCTTTTAAAAGTGGATCTGCAGGAGAAAGTAAGGGGTTTCATTTAAGCCTCAGGAAGCGACAATGGAAACAAGGCTGAAGGAAAGGTCATCTTACTATAAAGAGAAAAATCACCCTTTGCTTGGTCATCCACGGAAAGAGATGCTACTAAAAATGAAACTGATTTGTGGGAACTGACAGGGGAGTCAGGTGAAAAAACAAGACGCAGAGCAGACATCACAGCGTGACTCCATTTTCATATGAAAAAAAAAAAAGAAATAAAACTACCCTCTGCCCCCTTACGTTGTGTTTATGGGCCCGAGTTTTAGGAAAGAAAATCAGAAAGAACGATTGCCCAATCAGGCACCGAATGGTGGGCCCCCCAAATGATGTGTCTGTGTGCTCATGCTCAGGACCTGTGAGTGTGATCTTATTTGGGAAAAGGGTCTTTGCAGATGTGACTAAGTACTATGCGTCATGCTCTGAATGAATGTCTCCCCTCAAATTTGTATGCTGAAGTCGTACCCCCCATGGGATGGTATTAGGGGGGTGATTAGGTCATGGGGGGGGGAGCCCCCTTGCCCTGCCTGCCACGTGGCGCCCCAGGGAAAAGACACCATCCGTGAACCAGGAAGTGGCCCCCACCACATACTGCATCTGCTGGTGCCTTGACCTTGAACTTCCAGCCCCCAGAAGATATGTCTAGAGTTTAAGCCACTTAGTCTGTGGTGGTTTTGTTACAGCAGCCTCAAGATGAGGTCATCTTGGATTACCCAGGTGGGCCTTACATCCAGGGACCAACATCCTTATGAGAGAGAAAGAGAGAACACAGAGGAAAGAGGAAGGTCATGTGAAGATGCAGATGGGGACGAGGGTGATGCAGCCACAAGCCGAGGGTGCCCGGAGCCCCCAGGAACTGGAAGAGGCAAGGAGGCCTTCCCTAGAGCCTTCCGGGGTAGGGGGGGCGCCCTACCAACACCCTGATTTCAGACTCCTGGCCGCCAGGACTGTGAGAAGTGAATTCCAGTTGTTGGAAGCCCCTGCTTTGAGTGCTTCGTTTTGGGGGTGGGATGTCCCTGCAGCAGCGAGCACTCTGCAAGCCTGTTCTGGGCCTTCCTCAGCCTCCTGTCCCTGTGTTAGGGTCAAAGCCCCCGTCCCATGGCTCATCCTCTGCGCTCTGCGATGGAACCATCTGGAGCACTTCTGCAGGGGTTTTCTAAACCCAGAGCTTTGGCCCAGTTTCTTCTATCCACGGACCCGGGAGGGGTCGCGGAGGTAGGGGGAGCCGGGAGCTGGTTCTGATGCCATAAAAAGTCAAACAGAAACTGTCTACCTGTGGACCCAGAGGAGGTGACCCAGATTGGCTCTAGGCTGCAGTGGGAATCAAGACGCCGGCACGCGGCCCCACCAGTACGTGAGGTCACAACCTGGGCGCCGTGAGGGACCGCTCATCCTAGACTGGGTAAACACCTGCCCAACTGTGCTTCGTAAATGCCATCAGTCTAGGAGACCAGACTGCCCTGAGACAGGGGGCCCCTGGCAGGGCCCCTGGGCATCCTCTGGTGGTGACCTGAGCCACCTCCAAAGCTCACACTTACTTAGAGTCGGCCTGGTGGCCTGGGGACAGGCCGGAATCTGAGCTGACAGACGTGTCGCCTGACTTCTTCTTCTGAACGGCCGGCTTCTTGGTGCTGGGCTCCCCGTCCACGGTTTCTAAAGAAGGCTACAAGGGAACAGGGCTGGGTAAGCAAAGGCAGGTGGGACTGGCTGGAGGGAAAGCTGCATTTTGGGCAGAGCTGGGGCAGCCAGGGTGGGAGCTGCAGCCTGAAGCTTTACCTGCATCTTGGTCTGGGATGGGGACGGGAGGAGCTTGGAGACGTCGCTCGTGGACAAGGAAATGCGTCTCTCCCTGCGAGATCACAGAAACGTGGCTTTTATTTACAAGGGCGAGTTAGGAGACCTTTTTGGTTGTCCTGACTTGGGTGGGAGGGGCTTGGGCATCTGGTGGGTGGGGAGCAGGGACGGTGGTCCACACTCCACGGTGCATGGGTCAGCGCACCCCAGAGAACGAGCCGGCCACAGGTGTTGGCGTGCCAGGCCAAGAAAGCCCGGCTTGGCAGAAGGCCTGCACCTTCTTCCAGCTCTTCGTCCCTCTGGCCAAGCAGGCCTCTGGGAGGAGGGGCTGGGGACTTGGGGTCACCGGTATGTAGCTAACTAAGGGTCAGGTAGAGTGGGTCAAGAGCTGAGCCCCTTCTTCAGTTCCTGGGTGAAGGTAATCACCCTATTCTCTGATGAGGACACGGAGACCCAGGCAGACTGGGAAGTGGGACGTTGCCCCGAGAGGCTGCCTCCCGCAAAGCCAGGGGATTTCTATGTGAACAGAGGTCATTACGGGGCAGGAAGAGGACTCAGGATCCCAGCCGGCCCCTGGCTCCGTGGCTCCTGGCAGATGCCAAATCTTCACGTTCCCCTGCTCCTCCTTCCTAGGGGCTCCCACACACCTGGCCTTGGCTCTCAGGCAGGTACAGAGCCACTCACACGTTTCTGGGACACGTGGCACCGCCCGGGGCCTGCTGCCAGGCCTCCGCCCAACCCAGCCTGGAAGCCACGGTGTTCAGACAAGGGAGGGCCCGGGGCTTACTCTGTGGGCGTGAGAGCGGCCCCCATGGCCCTGTGCCGCTCGCTGAGGTCCAGGGACTGGCTCAGCATGGCGCTCGAACTGGCGGCCATCAGTTTCCTGCCCCGCCACAGCTCCACGGCGCTGGCCAGCCGCTCAGAGTCTGCGTCCCGGTACCGCTGGATCTGGGTGGAGCCTCCCGGGCTCTCAGACCTGTCCTGTGCCCTCGGGTCGCCCCCCAGCTTGCTCTTGTCCTTGGGAGGCTCGGGGCTGGTGCTGGGGGCGGGCACACTGACCCTACTGTCCAAGGCTAGGCTGGTTGGCCGTTCCACGTGGCCAGGCGCTGGCTCCACGCCCTGCAGCATCTTCAGGGTTTCTCCAGAGAGCTGGCTGGCTGGCGCCCCCTGCAGGGGCTCCTCAGGCTGCTTCTTAGAAGCATTCTCTGTCTCTGTCCCCGCGTCTGAAGGGGTTTCATCTTCTCTGGTCTCCTGTCTGTCTTCGGGGAGGCTCTCCTCGTGCTCTAGCACAGTCCTTCCAGAAGGTTCTCTGAGGGCCATCTCTTCCTTACAGGACTGTATGTGTTTGTTTTGGAGCTTCACGTGCTCCAGCCCTCTCTGCCGCCGTGACTCACGCTTCTCCCGGCTGCTGGGCACTTTCTCGTGACTTTCAGCTGCATTTTTCTGGGGTGGGAGAGCCTTCTCTGGGCTGGGGACCTCCTTCTCTGGTTGGGAGCTCTCTGCCAGGGGCTCCTCGCTTGGCCACACCTCGGGTTCCAACGCCAAATGCTCCCTATCCTCCGATGGTTCTGGGTCCTGCCTGGTTATCTGCTCCTGCTCGGCCGCCTGGCCTGGCCCGCCCTCTGCCATTTCCACCCTCAGGGCTTGCTGGGCTTCCCTCTCCTCTCCAGCCTTCTGCTTCTCTGCGACCATCCGGCTGAAGCTGGTGTGAGAAGAGTAAAGGGGCTGGGTTCAGGAATAAAAGTGCGCGCCATCTCCAGAATCCACCCAAGGCGTCAGGGACTCCCGTGCCACCCACAGGCTGGCGGCCAGGCTTTGCCCCTGCCAAGTGGAGTAACCCTGGCCCTCAGAGATGCTTCTGGAAAGGCAGAAACGCCTCAGCTAGGAAAGGGAGATACAGGAGGTGGACCCTTATTGTCACGGCCACCTCTGCCCTGGGTCTCCCTGTTGTGAGAGGGATCTGTCAAAAAACCCCTGAATTCCTTTGGGGTCCCTGGCTGGGTGGATGCTTGAGCTTCATATATAAGCATGGGGTGAGGGGAACCCACCATGGGCTGGTCTTCACAACCTGAACCCTCCACCTCTGAAGCCAGGTGTTTCATCAATGGGCCCAGGGTAGGTGGGTACAGTGAGGGGGGTCCCTGGCGGAGACCAAGTCCCGCCAACAGTGACCTCGGTTTCTTCGTCTACAGGTGTTGCCCACCAGCCCTGGAGCATCTCTCTGGGGCTGCGTGTGCCCGGATGGCCATATTTTTGACAGCCCCTCCCAGCTTCCCTGCATCTAGAATGATGTCCTGGGGGCTCCCCTGGCCAGGAGGTATCTCAGGTAGCTCTCGGGTGAGTGGGATGTTCGGGGCTGGGCCAGGGGGCGGGGGGTTGGGGGAGGGATGGGAGGGGGGGCCTTGCTCTGCTCACCTCTTGCGCTGAAGGTGACCCCGGCAGAGGCTCTGCAGGCGGATGATGCTCTGTCTACGGCGCTGGTAGGCCACCCGTTGCCGGTAGCCCCTCCACGCGGCCTGGACGTACACAGCGGCCTGTGTCCTCTCCAGGGCCCGTCGGACGTGGTAGGACCGCCAGCAGGCCTGGGGGTGGAGTGAGCGTTCAGGGCCTGGGCATGTGTGACCCCGGCTGCCCCTGTCCCTGGCCCTGCAGGGTCCCCGCGGTACCTGGATGGTGATGGCTGCCTGCCTCATCTGCAGAAAGTGCCGGCGTTCCAGCACCATCCGGAACCAGCTCTGCAGGAGCAGGATCTTCCGCACGACCTCCCGGTGCAGCGTCTCCTGCAGGGCTTGGCGCTCTGTCTCCTTCAGGAAAACCTGGTGGGGCGTGGGCACAGGAGGGGTCAGCGCAGCCCCCAGAATCCCTGTGCCCCGTAAGTGCGTGAGACAGAGCTGGTATGCTGACTGACCTGACCAAGGGGAGTTTTTTTGGAATATATTGAGAGAATTCTCGTAACATGAAGTTAACCATCGTTAACACAAACAAATCAGGGGCATTTGGTACGTTCACAACATTGTGCAAACATCACTACCATCGAGCTCCAGAACATTTCCATCACTCCGAAGAGAGACCCCATCCCCGTGAGCAGTCACTCCCCCTCCCCTCTCTCCCTCCAGCCCCTGGTAACTGTGATCTGCTTTCTATGGATTTGCCTGTTCTGGAAGCCTCATATACACGGGATCACACACTATGCAGGCTTTTGTGTCCGGCTTCTCTCACTCATCATGCTTTCAAGGTTCACCCATGTCATAGCTTGTAGCAGGGCCGTATAGCAATTCATCATACGAATGGCCCACAGTTTTGGAATCCATTCATCAGCTGATGGACCGCATGGGCTGCTTCTACCTTCTGCCTATCGTGACTAGTGTCGCTATGGACATGCACATATAAGGATCTGTTTAAACACCTCGTTTCCAGTTCTTTTGGGTCCATACTCACGAATGGAATTGCTGGGTCACGTGGTAACTAGAGGATTAGCTTGTTGGAGAAGGGTGAAGGGACTTTTCACATCAGATGAAGCCCTAACGGGAGCTGCCCTTAGCCCTCGTTAGACAAGGACAGCGGCTGGTGCCCCAATAGTAAGAAGCAACCAGCACGTACCTAGAGCTAGCGGATAGACGGTGTCCGAAAGGAACACCAGGGAAAGAAGCCTTCTGCCAGACACTAAAAGCTAGCAACTGGCTCCTGAACACCCGGCAGGAACCCTAGGCCATGTGTGAGGATGTGGGAAACAGGAGTGATGCCCGAGTCCCGCCCCTTAGATGCACCCCTTTGCCTTCTGGGAAGAAAGAATGTGCTGGGCCCCAAGAAAGACACTTTCTCAGCAGAGCCCCTTGTCTCTCAGCATGTGGCCCGGGACTTCGGGCCATGGGAGGACCCTATGTGTGGCGGGAGGTGGGGTGCGGGTTTGTGGCCCCCGAGGGGCGGAAGCCCTGACCTTGGTCTTCCCGATCTGGTAGTTCCTCTTGTCCACGTCCATCTTTTCCAACAGGGCAGAAATGACCTCCCTGCAGGGCTGGGTGTTCTTGGGCAGCAGCACCTGGAACTGCTCTGTGAAATCCTGTGTGATTTTGGCCAAGAGAAGAGAATCTCTGAGTGTTTCTGCCACCAGCAAGGATATGGCGCTCCAGTGATTCCCTGGTCGAGCCAAGTTTCCAAAGCTGGAATGGTACTACTGACAAAGCTAGAATCTCAGACTCTCTGAAACAGCTTCAAGCTTCAGAAAGACCACCACACACACAGAGCACTGGGTCTTCAGTCACTTGGGGAGTGGCTCTTAAGGGCCTCTCCCAGGGCTGGCATTGTTGCGGGGTGGCCAGGAAACAGGGCTGCCTTTGGGGGGCTCACGGTCTCTGGCTCATTAGAGAGCTGAATCAGAGCTGGGGATACACAGCTTTTACGTAAACAGGTCAAATTTTTAAGAACGAAGCGTTAGTAAAATACACTGGCATTTCCTCCCATTTCTGTGATTCTGCTTTTCCTATTTATACAGGCTCAGAGAGACGCTATTTCCATTCTGTGGATGAGAAAAAGGGAGGCATGCCATGATGAAGCCGTGTCCCCGAGGCCATATGGGTACAGCTGGATTGGGGACAAGGTGCCACCACCTCTGTCTTCAGGCCCAGTGCTGACTCCCGTGCTCACACCGGGGATGCCAGCTCATGGCATGAGCCAGAGGTTCTCAGGCCAGGCTGGTTTACCACCGGGGACGTGGGGTGATGTCCAGACACATCCAGGGTTCTCCCAACTTGGGAGGGCTGGGTGCTCCTGGCATCGAGACCAGGGATGCTGCTCAACGTCCCATAATGCACAAGGCGGCCCCCACCAAAAGAATGACCAGGTGGCCCCAGGGTCAATGGTGCTGCCACTGAGAAACTGCTCTAGCAGCTTGGTCTTCACTAATTTGAGGTCACCAAAGATCCTTTGCGTTTCTAAAAACCCCAGGGAGCCAGAACCGCTTGCTGCTGGTTGGAGGAATAGAAGAGATGGGTATAAAAGCATCTGTCACGGAAGATGCTCAACAGAGGGCAGAGCTGTGTGGGGATCTGCTCATGTAACTCCCTCTTCCCGGCTTGGCTTGACACCTCTGTATCCTTCTAGGCTTGGCCTGGGCCCAGCCACCTCTTCTGAGGACACTTGCTCCCGGCAACCCCCCCTCGATGACAGAGAATAATCTGGTATAAATGCCAACAGTGCCGGGGTGGAGAAGCCTTGGCATCAAGTGACCCCCTGGGTTCGTGTTCCAGAGAAGCGCTTGCTCTGACAGCAGGAGGTGGCTGGGCCCCTGCCCCGTCACGACAGTCACGCGCGTGCCGCCTACCTGGAACGTGTACTTGGCGCTGTAGCCCGACCTCCGGATCCGCACTGTCTCCAGCATGCCCGTGTAGCGCAGCTGCTGCAGCACCAGCTCGTCGTCGAAACACAGCTCTTTCTGAAACGGGGTGAGGGTGGTCAGGACATATGCCTGCCGCTGGACAGCAAAGCGTCAGCGGCCGGGGATGGGGAGCTATGGGACAAGGTCCCGTAGGATTCCGGACACAGGCAGGGTCGGGGAGCACAGGCGGGCCCCAGCTGGTCAGGACTGTCCCCAGCACGGCAGCTGTGGCCACCCGGAGGATCCATATTTCCTTGCTCCAGACATTCTTTTTGGATTAAAGAGGTAGGGCTGCTCAGCAGTGGTGCTTAAGGTATTTATCTCTTCTGGAGAAGCTGGCATCTGCTCTGCTCTATTCGCTGGTGTCTGGGACACACGTGCCATTTCTTGCTGGTTAATTTAAGATGATGTGCTGCAAAGAGTTAGTTCTTAAGAGCTCCAATCAAAACCGGTGCTGAGCTCATATCCTGTGCCAGGCTCTGGGGTAAATACTAGGGATTCAGCCAAGAGAAGAATATAAGGTCTGGAGGTGGAAGCCAGGTGCATATGTGAATGGGGCGGATACTGCCAGGGCCCCCTGGGAAGGGTCCAACAGGTGAGGGGGACCCTGGACTGAGTCCTGAGGAAGGAATGGGCAGGTAACAGCCAGGTGAAGGCCCAAAGGAGGACTCCGGGTCCTTGCCCAGGAGGAGAGAAGCCACAGAACCTGGTAGGGAGAAGCTGGGCTCTGGATGTTGACAGAGCATCCCAGGAGCAGGAGAAAGGGAAATGGGAAGAGTAGAGGCAAAGGGGGTAGGCCCCGATCCTAACGGTTCTAGCAAAGTCCCCAAGGGGACAGAATGGCCAATGGACCCATGGGGCAAAGGAAACCTGGCAGGGAGGGCTGAGCCCCCACTGGGGCCCCCACTGGTGCTCCATGAGTCTTCCCAGAAATTTTCAGATCAAACGAACAGCAGGCTCTCTGCTTCTGCCATATGACCTCAGCCCCTCCCTTCTGGCACATTTTCTGCACTGGCCGATTTGGAGATGTACTGAAGAGCATGTTTGACCTGTCCCTCCTAGGGCTTCGCTACGTTCCAGATGATGTCCTTGCTCTTGGCGGGCCACCTGGCTGCCCTCACTGCTTCCTGCGAAACCCCCTCCACCTCAGGCTGGCCATTTCCGGTTCCTGGAACCTGTGTGAACACTTGGTTCCTTGAGAGACCTTGGCCTTCACCTCCCCAAGACATGGGAGCTACTCACCTTCTCAGCATTGGAGCGGATGCAGCGGATAAAGAAAGGCTCCGCTTTCCCCAGTGCCTCCAAGAGCTTGTTAAGGGATGTCTGGGGAAAGAGGGAGAGGTCTTGAGCTGGCAAGCCGCTCAGTGGGAGGGGACCCAGGTCACTCGCTGGCATCAGCACTGATACAGGACATGGGAAGCCGTAGCTGGACATTCTGACTAGAGGCTGCACTTCCCCTGGGAGCCCCAAAGACAGCCATAGGGTCCCCAGAGTTAACGGCTGTCCTCTTCCCAGGGTCTCCCAGCTCTTTGTCTCAGTGGGACTGTTGGGGGAGGGTTGGTGGGGCCAGATAAACTCCTTCTGGGGATTTAAAATGCCGGTCAGCCTCAGAAAGAAGCACAGATGCTGTGATTTTGGTCTTTGGCCTGCTGTTTACAAAAAGGATTTGCAAGGGGTGCCTGGGTGGCTCAGTTGGTTAAGCGTCTGCCTTCGGCTCAGGTCATGATCCCAGGGTCCTGGGATTGAGCCCCGCATCGGGCTCCC